AATATTATTTATAAATACACCCGTCTAGCGGTTAACTGCATAAGTGCATGGAGGCAAGACCTCAGAGCATACTCCATAATGTGTTGTACATTATTTTATGTATATTATATGTAACGTGGTATTTTTCAATTATTGTATTTACCAACATCAAGAAGTCACAATCAAAGAAAGACCACACCATGGTGCATGTTTGAACAAGGAGAGTTTACTCAAAACTATTTATTAAACAAATAAAACACATTTTTTTAACCACCAAAAAATACACGTTCAAAGCAACACAACAGCCCGATATCAGACAGGACACCGCTCTGTAGAGTGAGCAATCATAATGATGTTGGTTTTATTTTGTGGATTCAAGCTGCTCTTCATATTTTTGGCCACCAGATGTCACCAGAGAGGACTGTTGTAAAGCTTGAGTAATGAACCGTTTTTCAACACAAGCTTCAGAAAGCTTCATTTGGCCATCACTGCACAGGAATGTGTCCGCAAACAGGTCCGGGAATCTATACAGAGACGATGGTTAGTTTAAGCCTTAAATAGCAGCAACACTACAGATCAGCAGCAGGTGGTGGCAATCAGCCCAGGTGAGGGGGCCACAGGTGAGAGCCCAGTAACAAGCTCCGCCCAGGCAGGCAGGTAACAGTGGGGAGGAGAGAGAGAAAAACACAAACCAAACCTGTAGCCAGTCAGAGAGACATGTGAGACACTTTTCTGTCATTTAATTGTTTATTCCTGATCACGCTGCTGTGTGAACCATAAAAGAGGATTTTATCAGCAGGAAAAGCTGTAAAACTTCTGGAAATACAGTTAAAAGTCCAAAATGTCTGTTTGTGCTGGTTTGTGGTGAGCTGCTATTAAAACAAGGTAAGAATTACAAACGGCTTCCAGAGCACGTTCAGGCCTGTGAGACATTTCAAACACACTTTGTATGTAGTTCATTTATAGTTTAATACTGAACTGTAAATTTAGTCTTTTTCAAGAAGGCAGTTTTCACTGTGACCAGCTCGTAGTTTTATTCTGTCTACAGGTCTACAGGTGTGCAGGTGTGCATTTAAATGTATCTAATGTTTTCTCTATGAAGCTGTTGTTATGCATCCAAATTCTCCTCATTCATCATCTATCAACGTCTTCAAACAGCCTTCTAGATCTTCCAGAAAAGTCCACAACTTTGGCAAGAGGTCCAATTCAATCAAGAGGAACCCGAATGCCCCAGTGGTGAGGAGCAGCTGGCTTTACAAACAGGTAATGAGGAAGGGTTGGGGTTAGTCGTTGAATTTGTGGAATTCTGGATCTGGTGTCCAGACTGCCACCATATAGATGACTTTTGTCTCTGAGTGATTTCCAGTCAAAATATTGATTGTGTTGA